GAAGAGGGCGCCACCGAATTTTGAGGACACTTTTTTAATTGGCTCAAAGAGAGAAGTGGCCCCTCTTGTTATGTAGACTCTTTGGTTGAACGCAGATGAGGAACATGAAGAGTTGCTATCGATTCCCCTAAAACGAAAATGGATAATTTCTTCACTATGTAAGGAGGTTCTCGCTAGTATTCCAGTGTTGGCCAACAGTCTCATTGTTTGGTGAATAATAGAGCTGAAATACCTCGGCTACTCCCTTGTTCTCCAGTCTGCTATCGTGTTGTTTGTGGGTGGTTGGAGGGCGCCACTGGAAGGTCCTACTTCTTATGTATCCCTCTGTTGTCTCCGTGTTTATGCCCTTCACTAAATGTGCTTCTTTTTACTTTAGAAAAAAAAAGTATTTTTAGTGTGTTGTTTACGGTGTTGTGTTTGTCTTATCTCTAACTTTTTGTTCCGATGCCCATGTTTTCATTATGCGTTTCGTTTTTCGGTTGAACGTCGTTATATTATATCCAAGGCTTCTACAGATAACAGGCATTACGTGTATTTTTAGAATGTTAAAACTTTTAAAAGATGTTTTCTGTTGCTTTTTCTTGAACCTAGACGTTGGAAAATTGTAACGCCTGGTACAGATTTTTTTCCTCCTTTTGTTTTAGTAAGAGTTTCACGGCACTTGGAAAACAATAAAAAGGTCATAGGTGTCAATGATTAGAGGTGTTACAAGATAGTAGCAAACTCGAAAAAGAAAGAGAGATAAGGGCAACTGATGTTTGATAGGATATGAAAGAAGGAGCAGGCCACACCAGAGCGCCTGCCAACCATCCACACACAATGGTTTGATTATGTAGGCTGTAAGCATAGAGTTACCCCCTTTAAAGTGTATAGTGTACATCTATGGCTGTAAGTAAGTTGAGTAACCAAGTGAAATGGTAAAATGTTGGAATACGTGGAGAGTACATATATTTGTATTGTGGCATTCAAGGCCGCGCACTCTTACGTACTTCCGGTTCACCACGGAGTGCTCCATTTTACTCCATGCTATTTGGAACTAAATGAGCGTGTGGTTGGTGGGTGCTCTGGTGTGGTTTGCTCCTTTTTTCCTATCAAACACTTATCGTCCTTATCTCTCCTCCTCCTTTTTTGGTGGGTGGTTGGCGGGTGCTCTGGTGTGGTTTGCTTCTTCTTTCCCATCAAACATCTATCGTCTTTTTCTCCCCTCCTTCTTCTTCGTGCTTGTTACTCTCTTGTAACACATCATATCTCCTGGCGCTCAAAATATGACCTTATGCAGTTTCGAGCGCCGTAAATCCTCTACTAAAACTAACTAAAACATCTATCATCTTTATCCCCCCTCCTTCTTTTTCGTGTTGTTACTCTCTTGTAACACCTCTAATCTTCGGCACTTTTTGACTTTATTGTGTTGCAAGTGCCGTAGAAACACTTACTAAAACTAAAACTCCTTTTTTGTGTTTGTTACTCTCTTGTAAGGTCTCTTATCCTCAGTACTTTTATGACCACCATATTGTATTGCGAGTGCCGTAAAACTTTGTAAAACGTAGACTTGTATTATATCATTCACCTCTGCACGCTTGGCGTAGTTTCGGTGTAGGTGGTTGGCGGGTGCCCTGGTATGGTTTGCTCCTTCTTTTCTATCAAACATCTATCGTCCTTATCTCCCCTCCTTCTTTTTTTTTCTGTCTTGTAACACCTCTAATCTTCTAGCTCTCATGACCTTATGTAGTTGCGAGCGCCGTAAAACCTCTGCTAAAACAAGTAGTTTCGGTTCCCCGCGGAGTGCACTATATTTTCACTCTATTCAAATTGGAACTAATATGACTGGAAATTTCGGGAAAGATTTTGCGTATGCTCGACCACAGAAGAACCACTGTTCTGCCCTTCATTCGCGTGCACTAAGTGAGTTCAAGGGCAGCGAAATTTTTTTTGAAATAATTAAACGGAGAGCTAAGAGCAGCGACTATGGCAGTGACCGACCCAGGGTATTGTAATTCGAGTCTATGTGAAATGCATAATATTATAATAATGTAGATATTTTTTTACGAGTGTGCAGCAAGCACTACTCAAGTTGTGTACTTGGGGCTACGGAATAGTTTACCATCTCATCTTCTCGTTGGCGACAGATTGTTGTATTTCGGCTTTTGCGGCTTGCTGTTGTTGTTTCTCTTTATTATAACGGTGAACGTTTTTTGGAAGAAAAAGATATACACGCTCTCTTTGATATTTCTGTTTGAGGAAAATTATTGTTATAAAAGCATTCGTGGAGTGGTTGGTGGGCGCTGTGGTGTGGTTTTCTCTCTCTCTCTCTCTCTCTCTCTCTCTCTCTCTCTCTCTCTCTCTCTCTCTCTCTCTCTCTCTCCCGTCAAACATCTATCGCTTTCATCTCTATCCCCTTGGTTTTTGTGTTTTTCATTTCTTGCAGCATCTCTAATCCACGGCACTTATATGACCTAATTGCGTTGCAAGTGCCGTAAAACACTTTCTAAAACAATTACAAAACCTTTCAATGATGAAACATTCAACGAACAGGCCATCCTCCTGTATGTGTCACAAAACTATGTAATGATAAAACGTTTAACAAATTTCGTGACATCTCATGATTCGACTATTCCGTGATAGTGAATTTGCCGTGAAGCACGTGGCGTGGGGCGAGTACTATGCCCTGCTGAAAAAAAATCTAATCAGGGACAGAGCCATCCTTCATCCCCCATCCCTTTTTTCTTTTTTTATGGGGGGGGGGGAGAGGAAGGTTGCCCCTGGCAACATCACAACATGCAGGAAAGTCTGGTTTGCTCCTTCTTTCCTGTCAAACATCTATCGTCCGTATCTCTCCTCTATTTTTGTGTGTGTTACTTTCTTGTAACACTACAAATCTTCGGCACTTTTGTTGATCATATGACTTTATTGTGTCGCAAGTGCCGTAAAACATTTACAACTAAAACAAAGTCACGTGGGGCGGGGGTGGTGTGATGGCCTGCTTTAAAAAATCCAAGCCATGACCTTACTCTGTATCCCCCCCTCCATTTTTTTTTTTTTGGGGGGGGGGGAGGGGAGAGATAGAGTAAGGTTGTCTCGAGCAGAAACAACAAGCGGGTGGTTGGCGGGTGCCGAGGTGCGGTTTGCTTCTTCTTTCATATCAAATATCTATCCTCCTTATCTCTCCTCCTTCTTTTTTGTGTTTGTTACTCTTTTGTATCACTACTTGTCTTCGGCACTTATATGATCATAGTATGACCTTATTGTGTCGCAAGTGCTGTAAAACGTTTTAAACTAAAACAGAGTCACGTGGCGACGTGACATAGGCGTTCTGTAACCCCCCCCCCCCCTTTTTTTTTGGGGGGGGGGGGGGGGGGGTAGAAGAAGGTTGTCTCTAGGCAAAACAATATGCGGGGGTGGTTGATGGGTGCAGAAGTACGGTTTGCTCCTTTTTTCCTATCAAACATCTATCGTCCTTATCTCTCCTCCTTTTTTGTTTTGTGTTACTCTCTTTTACCACTACTAATCTTCGGCATTGTGTTGCAGGTACCGTAAAAAAACAATTATTAAAACAAAGTCACGTGGGACAGGGGTGGTGGCCTGCAGAAAAAAATCGTAAGTTGTGACAGAGCCATTTTATGCATCTCCTCCCCTTCTCCCTCCCCCCCCCCTCCTTTTTTGGATAGAGAAACAACAACTACAACAACGACAACAACAACAGCAACAACAACAACAACAACAACAACAACAGCTACAACAAAAAATCGAGAATGGCTTTGTCATTGTCTAGAATTTGTTTTTCTTTTTGTTCATCATTTCATCGTCCTCGTGTTATGCATGACACTGCGGTTTTATTTGTCATAGACAGGCTCCCACATGTGGCGTTCGCATTAGGTTTTCACATATTGGAATAGATAGCCCATTAACACCCCAGATTATTTTGGAACACCTACTGAACAGTGCACTTTGAAGTTTTGGTCAAAACAAAAATAGGAAAAGGAGGGAGCTCCTCCCCGCCCGGGCAGGGCTACTGACTGAAGTTATCTTTTGGCCATTCCCAGAGGGGGGGAGGTATTAACATGTTCTTATGCGCAGTAGAATTGTATATGGGCTGATTTATCAATGTCATGCTCATACTCTGCCGGAACAACACAGGGGGAACTGCTGCTTTTTCTTTCCTCATCCTTCCTATCGTCATTTTCCTATATTTCTTTTGTATGTGTGTCACTCTCTTGTGAACTGCCTTTTCCAGGGTGCCTTGATAGTCGAAGCAGATTTTTGCTGTTGAGGCTAGAGAGATGAGCAGGATAAGCCTGATTCCCCATTTGGACTTGTCTGTTGACATCCACTCCTTGGCGCTCGTGTAACCTTATACAGTTGCGGGTGCCTTAAAACCTTACTAAAACTAAACTAAAAGGAGGGAATCTGTTTTGTGTTTATTGGAGAAATAACAGAAACAAAGTCGAAACAACAACAAAACGTTTCAGATTCAGGTGTTGGTGATTGATGGGTGCTACGATGTGATTTAGTGATACTGTCCAAACAAACGTTTATCTTTATTTTCTTTCCTCCTTTTCTTTGTATATCACTCTCTAGTAACACCTCTAATCATCAGCATTTATACGACCTGTTTGTATTACAAGTGCCGTAAAACTTCTGCAAAAACTTATGTTACTCTTTAGTAATATATTACATAAATTGGGAAATTATAAATTATTTTGGACGTCCACCATTATACAGTAGTGCGTTGTTGAAGGGTTGTATTTTTTTGGTTTTTTTTGTTATTAAAAAAAAAGTTTTAATAAAACATTTTTTTTATAGAAGAAAAATAGAAAAAGGAGGTACTGTATCTTCTTATTATGTTTATGGAGAAATAATAACTTTCAAGGTGCATAAGGGAAAGGAAGATTTAGTTTTATGTTTATGGAGGGGGGTAAAAGCCCGAAAAAAAACCCCAAACAAACAAATAAAAAACCCATTAAAGGTGCAGGTGTTCCCCCGAGAGGCGGGCTGGACACAGACACTCTGGTGGAGGCGGTGGCCTTCCTGCATGAGGACGGGGAGGGGGAGGACGGCTGCAGCAAGATCGCCATCCTGGAGCAGGGCCGGGCGGGGAGCAGCAGCGGCGTGAACCGCTCCCCTCAGCACCAGGAGTACCCGCTCAACTACCAGAACTACAAAGTGTGCAAAGAGGTGAGGCGCTTAGAGTTTGGTTCTGAATTCAGTGTGTGATTTTGGTTGTATGGGGTGGGGTGTGGGTTGTAGCAGGTCAGTGGATTTGAGGGACTTATAATAGAGCTGTGGTGGGAGGGGGTTGTATCAGGGCAATTTGGGGAGGAGGGGGGAGTAGAAAGCAAGGGTGTGAACCGGTCCCCACAGCAGGAAGAGTACCCACTCAAACTACGATAACTATAAAGTGTGCAAAGAGGTAAGAGTTTAGAGTTCGATTCTCATTTAAGCGTGTGGGGAAGAGGGTGGAGTGCTGGTGGTGGAGGTTAGAGGGTTTTACTGTGATAAGAAAGGACGTAAATTGCTCCCCATAGTACGCAGAGTACCTTCTCAACTACCTGAACTACAAAATGTGCAAAGAGGAAGGGGTTGGCATTCGATTCTGAATTCAGTGTGTGATTTTGGTTGTGGGGGGGGGGGGGGTTGTAACAGGGCGGTGGGGGCAGAGGTAACGAGGAAAGCAGGGACGGGAATTGATCCATTCAGCACAAAGCGTCACCCACTCGATTCCAGAATTGCAAAGAGGTTAGGAGTTGGGTTTCGATTCCATTTTAGTATGTTTGTTTTAAAACCGGGGGATATAGGCCACAGATTCAGATGTGGAAAACTTGAAGGAAGGGGGGGGGGGGGGGTCGGACAGAGGGTGAGAAGGATGCGGTCTGCTGATTAAAATTGTCTCCCTCAGCACAAGGAGCGCCTGTCACATGTCGCCCAATGATTGTGCAGAGGATGTTGAGAGGGTCGAATGTTTGAGTTCATTATGTTGTTGGGGAAAAAGTTGAAGGCCTTTGTAGCTGTGAAACCCATTTCCACTTTAAATCAGTTTTGGGCTATTCCTCTTACTTTCGGTAGTTAGTTTTTAGGGTCTTGCCTTTGGAAAATTAATTAGTTTTATCTGATATTTCTGATTCACTGTTGCAGTTTTACTCTTGGAAGAAAAATTTTACAACTTTCAATACTTAAAGTAAAAGTTAGATTTGTTTGCTCCCTCATTTGAAGATAAACATTGACTCGGAACAAAAGTTTGGATTTCTGTGCGGTTGAAAGGTAGATGTGTTGCAATTTTTTAAGCTTCCTGTTTATCCTGAGCAGACTCCTCTTTTGTTTCTGTCTATCTGCATTTTCCCAAGACTCTTTCTATCTTATTATGTTGGTATACTTCTCTTTGACTCGAGCAAAGAACTGTCTTTTGACTGGACAAGCAAACGAATGGGTTTTTTTTAAATTGAAGGTTTTGGTTGCTCTGATGTGGTTTGCTGCTATTTTCTTATCAAACTTCTTTTGTCCTTATCTCTCCTTCATTTTTTTCTTTTTTTTCTTTGTCACTCTCAAGTAACTTCTCTTAGATCGCGGCTCTTATATAAGATTCTTTCTTGTGTTGAAAGTGCTGTAAAGATCTTTTTTAACTAAACCCAAAAACATTTTTTAACCGTGAAAAATTTACTTATGACTGATGTTTCTCTTTGTTCTTCCTGACAGCTTCAGCCGGGCGTTAAGGAATGCCTTATCCTAGAGACTGGGGAGAAGTTCCTCAGCTTCTCTGGTAATTGTCCTGGCGGCTGTCCCTCAAGTGACAATGATGCATCCCAGAGTGGGCCACGATCTGTGTACCTCGTGCAGTCTGAGCGTAGAAACAATTCCACCACTGTCGGAGAAAGGCTACTGGAAAGATCGGTTAATGGCCACAGTGGCATGGGAAATTTTTCTACATCTCTGAGAAATGTTGACCCGGAAACTGGTGGATTTGGAAAAGTGGATGGTGTGCTTGAGCTTCAGAGTCTGCATGGTCTCGAGTCCGGATCGGGAGACCATTACTTGCAGTCAAGAGAACAACATCATGTCGACGGTAGTTCCTTATCATCGGGCCAGAATCTGGTTTGGGTTGATCAATCGGAGGCTTTTGCCTACGTATCCTTGCACAATGCTCAGGAAGAATCATCTGCAGACGCTGAAGAGATGTCGCAGAGGCTGGGTGGTAGTCAGCAGGCGTACATCACGGACAATGGGATCCCTGTCATCCTGGACAATGCGGAGGACGACACCAAGTTGAGCCTGCAGGAGCAGATGTGCCGGCTGGTCATGGGTGTGGGCCCGCCCGTGCTGAGAGACACTACTACAGCAGAGTCTGGCTGCTGTGGGGGCACTGCTAGGTCCATGATGGCCCGGATGGAACCTGATCTCAGCGGTGAGCCATCTCTCCAGTCAGGGATGGAGAAATCAAGTGAAGAAATTTTTACAAAAGCTGCTGCATGAAATGGATTGTTGTATGAGAAGTGATGGAGTTTTATGACTTCTCGGATTGAACAGATAAAAGGGCTAGGATATTTCTGTAGATGATCCTTTTTTTTGTTGTAGGATGTCCAATATAGTTAAAAGATCCTTTAATGGCATGGCTATGTTCATGTGGTTGTTAGTTAGATACGTCTGCTGTGGTTGACTCCATTTACTTCTCCAGTGTTTCTATAGTTTATTATTGTGAAGTTCTGCTCCTCAAGAAAAAATTTGTAGAAACAATTTTGCCAGAGAGCTTTCCTCAATTTTGTTTACTCCTCAAGAGTTGAAAAGGAAGATATTCATGTGAATAAGTTGTTATGTTTTGCTTTAGGTGGGGTGAGAGGGGTTACAGCTTATTTCATCCTCAAAGAGACATATATATTTTTTGTAATAGGAATAATATGCTGTGAACGTTGAGCTCGTTACGGGCATCTGAATGATGTAATAGGAATCCTCTAAAATAAATCTGTACCATATATACTCACACTCCGTATAATAGGGATGCATACTTTGATTCCAAAGTCGGCTCATTTTTGTAGGTTGCTTGTATAATACAAAATTCATTTCTGAGGACGGCCCTTTTTTGCCCCCATTTCCCCTCCCCGTTTGGGAGTCATCAATTTTAAGATGCATAGGTGTGGAGCAGCTTTTTCTAACTGTAGAAAGTTTGATGCTTGCTATGAATGGCATTGCTTGTGAGCTGTAGTTTATGCTTATTAGGCTCTGCTGCTTTTGACAGATTTTGCATATATAGACCTTTGTTAGTCCATTTTAGGTTGTTTTAGCAGCTCCTTGCTTGCCCTCTAGCAACTCATAAGGTCTCACTATAAGAAAAGGATTAAGAGTCAGTCTTCGATTTAACGTGGTAAATGGTACAGAATATGATGGTGAATGTGAAATCTCAAGCTACTTTTGCTGATTCCTGTGTAAAAACTAAACACAGTTTTGTCATTTTTGTCTTTTTGTATTCTAAATTTATTGTATCTGACAAATGCCCACACACCAATCTAGGCGCTCCTTCAGCTCAGTTGGTATTATGCCGAACTATGGAACAGATGGCTCTGGTTTGAATCCCAGACTGAGTGTTCTCGAACTTACTCGTTTTGTGGAGTTTTCAAGGCTTTCAACCCATTTTGGCTCTGTCCTATCTTTGATGGACATTGCATTTTAAGGTCCCCTCTCGTAACTCACCTAATAGTGTAGATGGTCCCCTTTATCCGTTCTATCACTTCTCTCCTTCCTCTCTGCCCACCCACAACCCACCCTTTTATTGGTACCAAGAGAATTTTTTTTGTTTCTGCATTTTCTCAACCAACCCTATTGTATGTTTGTGGTTCTTTTGTTCAAGGATTCCTTCTTTATTTGAGTGTTGTGATTGCCTTAACAAATTGATAACAGAGTGTGAGATCTTCACGAATTAACTTTACATTCCTTTGCACCAAGTACTTTTCTGTTAGTATTAATTTTAAACATTATTTTCTTTATTTAGCTAATTTGTTACTTTTGATCCTCAACCTTATGGTTTACATTTATACTTTTCGGACAATGAGGATTGTGTTTAAACAGCTCCTCTATCATTTGTTTTCTATTCCTGCCAGTTATGGACGATTGGCCTTTCTTGAACCCCCCTCCCCTCCAACCTATACACTACACAGGAAGCTGAGAGTGTTCTAGAATGTTTTAGGATCTGTTGAGATAATAGGAATTTGTAAAGTGCATTGAGCCTACTACTTTTCTTGTAAGTTGTAGGGGTAAATGCTGTCTATTATTATTGCCTCATTTTTAGCCCTGGCCTCCTGTTATAACTTATCATAATTGAGTTTGCACAGTTACTTTTGTCTTGTAAGTTTTAGTAAGGCTATTCACTATCATTGTCAGTTACTTCAAAATTCAGTTGTGATAAATTTATCAAATCTTATGTATAGTAAGTTGATTACAAAGGGTCTTAAGAAGATAATCTTTCCTGTTATAGAGGATTGATTTAGTCACATTTCTTTTGCAGATGTGAAGCCCATTGGAAAGAAGTCCAAGAGAAAAAAAGATAAACAGGAGAAGTAAGTTTATCCTGATACTTAGTTGATCTGGAGGGTGTGCCTGTTTCAGTAAAATCGTTAGTTTGAGTAAAGCAATGCACATCGACACCATAAATAAGTTATAAGCTATAACAGTCATTCGTGCATCGAAAAAGTGGGACACAGACAGAAACACCAGAGATAAAGAATAGAAAATGAGACCTTCCAATCACCTGCAGTCTGCTTTTTTGGTTTATTTTTGTTGCGTTGAAAAAGCCCCCCCAAAAAACGCAGGGAAAGTGTATATGTATACAATTTTTCTAGGCTGTTTTGTTTATGTTGTTCATGGGCCCTGCCCCCTTTTGCTAGAGCTGCTGTTAAGTCGTACAGTTTTTCTGTTGTGGGTCCTACTTTTTGTCTTTCCTTCTGTTGTTTTTGTCCATCTTTCTTTTTCCTATCCTGAAATAAAGTTAATATTTTGGACTTCTTTTCTTCCCCTATGATGTGAACATCCCCTGTTAGTACAGGTTCAAAGCTGTGCTGATGAAAGCAAATGTAAATTCCCAAAGCGCATGAACTGTAATTGGTGGCATCGGGTTCACCTGATTCAAGTAACATGATAATATTTGTGTTCTCTGTCAGATTTTATGAGCTGCAACCAGACATAACAATTGAAAGTGTGGAAGAAAGTGCCTCTATGTCAGAAACTGACTCTGTCATTGTTAGTGCCAATGTCAATAACAACAACAACAATAACAGCAACGGTGATGCCAGACAGGGCGCCAACCTAAATAGCAGCAATGATGATGGCAAAGTTGAGGTTGGTGATGACGATGATGATGATGCTGAATGCGTAGTTAAAGATGAGGTTTCGCCTGCGTCAGTTGAGGAGGGAGACCGGAACAACAGTGCTGGTTCAAGGCTCGAGTCGGGTCGGCCATCTACGATTGAGGAGGACGGAGAGGATAGTTACGCTTCTACTCTTCTTACGTCTGCTGGGTACGTACTGGTTGTGATTCTCTGTCTCTCTCTCTGTCTCTCTGTCTCTCTCTCTCTCTCCCTCCCTCTCTCCCTCCCTCTCTCTCTCTCTCTCTCTCTCTCTCTCTTTCTCTCTCTCTCCTCGGTACAGCTGGGCCACTGACATGAGGAAACTTTTATGTACAATAGAGTTGGATATGCGTGGTTTTTTCAAAATGTTGGTGATAAGAATATTTTCCTATCCCAAGTAAAGGAAAGACTTATAAATATTAGTCACCAGGAGTGGCGTTCTAGGGTGTCTGACGTTTATCCTGAGTACCTGGACTTCCACCCTACGTTAAGCCCTGCACTGTACCTTTCATTCACCATCTCTGCTAGAGGTAGAAGGATCCTTGCATTACTCAGAACTTTCAGTTTGTCGTTGAAAAATAATCTGTTCCGGTTGGGTATTGTCGACAGTAATCGTTGCCTCCAGTGTGATGAAAAGTATGTAGAAAATGAATTCCATGTATTGTTCAGATGTTCACAATATAATGAAATACGAGAGCAGCTTTTACCAGAGTTCGTCAGACTTCAGACATCCAAAGGGCCAATGTCTAAGCTCAATGGCATATTAGTCTGTTCAGATAAAGTTCATTCTAAAAACATAATCTCATTCCTAAATTATGTTGTTATACGGACACGTCTGTCCTAGGGAAAAGGTATTCATTCGCATATGTAACTCTGTATCTACTGTAATATGTACTATTTTATATGCATATATGTATGAAAAAGACAATGGTATTCACTTCTCAGAGTGAAACATGTCCCGATTTCTCTCGCTTCCTCATTCATAGCACTGTGTGGAAGTTCTATTTCTGTTTGCTCTTATGAATGTATGTATGTATGTATGTTATGTAACATATGTACGTATGTACGTACATATGTGTGTGAGTATGAGTGTGTATGTGCGTGTGTCACATGCGTGCGTGTGTGCGTGCATGCGTGTATGTGGGCGTGCATGTCTAATTTATGTTAAATATCCGATGTGCTGCACCAAAGTATGTAATTGCCGAACCATATGTTAAAATATGTGGATGTATGGGCCAATGGCCTTTCAAATCAATAAATCATTTTGAATCTTTGAATCTCTCTCTCTCCTCTCTCTCTCTCACCTCTCTCTCTCTTTCTCTCTCTCTCCTCTCTCTTCTCTCTCTCTCCTCTCTCTCTCTCTCTCTCTCTCTCTCTCTCTCTCTCTATCTCTCTCTCTGTCTCTCTCTGTTTTAAGCCAGACTTGATGAAACACTTGGTGAAACACTTTTCACCTGATAGGTCACATTGGGGGTGGGGGGATGTTTTGTTTTATCATTGTGATTGATGTAAAGCCCTCAAATCTTATGCTCATATGGGATAGACCACTATTTAAATCCAGTCTATTATTATTATTATTATCCATGGAATCGGTTTTTAATCTGATTCTGTGAAACACTTATCACCTAATGGGTCACATATTTTGTTTGTGTGTGTTTTGGTTGAGTTTTTTTTGTTTTATCCTATATCCTCTGTTATTGATCATGCATTTCTTTTATTCTAAAACATTTTTGTGCCTGTTTGCTTTTTCTGGCCAAGACTTTAATGTCTTTTTGTGGGAACAGTTGTCTGTGGTCTAGCTGTCAGAATGGATTATTCCACCTCCTTAACTTGTCACACTTTGGGTGGGGTAAGGAGATCTCAAAAATGCTTTTGAAAACGGGTGACTTCATCGTTGGTTGTCTGGAAGGCAAAAGAATGGGAAGTATACAAAACTGTTCAATATGACCGGTCTTTTCGGGAATATTAAGAAGAAGGAAGAGGAGGAGAAGAAGATAATGATAAAGATGAAGAAGAAGAAAAAGACGGGAGGAGGAGGAGGATTTTTTTTTAAAGAGAAAAAAAGTAGAATAAGAAGAGAAAAAAAATCATGAGAGATGTGTAAATTTTTTTTGTTTTGGTTCAAAGCTACCACCGGTCTCCTGGCGGCTCCTATCGATATGACCACGACAGAGGCAGCAGCCCTCGTTCCCGACGCCATGACCTTTCACATTCCCCTGGCGGTCATGCCTACTACAGCTCGAGGGGAAGCAGCTTTCTGGACAGTCAGCATTACAGATCAGGGGACAGCTCATCATTCTACAGGTCAGTTCTTAGAGGTGAAGGAAGGGGAACAAACTATATGAGAGAGAGAAAGAGAAAGATTATGAATTACGTAAACACATACTTTTACACACAATCATTCACGTTTTCAGGTCAGGAGAGCTGAGCTCAGTCGACTCATCGCGCTTGTCCACTCGGTCCACAAGAATCGAACGAGGTGACCCCAGAACAAGTCAAGGTCGTTCTGAGTCCAGCATGGTGCCCAAGTTCAATACGCTTCATGACCAACAGGTAAGTTTGTGTGGTATCGTGTTGAAACCAGGCACTCGTTGAAACAATGAAATAGAAGAAACTGACATTCTTCTGATGTTTGTTTTTTTTAAACTCAGAACTTGTTATGTCTATTTTGAAACACTTTTCAGTGTGGATTTTATTGAAAAAAAAATTATTAAAGGTACAAAAATTAAAATTTGTAGTTTCCCAGGATACTAAAGCTTTGGAAGTCCCCAAACTTTGAGTCGCCAAACTTTGGTGGCCATTTTCCGGCTCATTTCAAACTGACATCTGACAACCTGCACCTCTTTCTATGGCAAATATCTATTCAATATAGAAGATTGTTTTATTTTCTTCAAGAGCCAGGCACAGGGACAGGCTTTAAGATGATACCAATTACTCCATATGCCCCAAAATTGATAAGCCCTTAACTACAAGCTCGGGACATCACCAAACTTTGGCGGTCATTTTCTCGCTAATTTTATGTAAAAAAAACTGGGCAACCCCCACCTCCTTTAATAGCAAATATGTTGTAAGCAAGTAAGTTTATTCAGTGTTTAAGGCCATTGGCCCACATCACATCGCACAAAACATTCATTTGATAAATATGTTGATTTCTTATCGAGACAGATGGGTATATTTTAATGGAAAGTTGGTCAAATAGTCAAACTTTAATATGATACCAATAGCTCCACATGCCCCAAACCTGACGAGTCTCGATTCCACCGTGTCGTGACACATATTGTTGTTACTGTTGGCTGGCCAGGTGAGCTGGCTGGAGATGTTCAAGATGATCGAGCAGCAGCACAGGACGGAGCTGCAGTCGCAGTACAAGGAGCACCAGCAGATCCTGAGGGACATGCAAAGGAACATGGAGCAAGAGCTGAGTAAACAACAGGACACGCTGAAGCAGAGGTTGTCTACCCACAGGGAGGTTAGTCTGTGTGTGTATGTCGGTGTGTGTGTATGTGTGTCGAGAGAGAGAGAGAGAGAGACCCACACACACACATGCAGAGGAACCTGTTGTCTACCCACAGGGAGGTTAGTCTGTGTGTGTGTGTATGTGTGTGTATGTGTGTGGAGAGAGAGAGAGGTAGAGAGAGAGAGACCCACACACACGCACATGCAGAGGAACCTGAAACAGAGGTTGTCTACCCACAGGGAGGTTAGTCTGTGTGTGTGTGTGTGTGTGTGTGTGTGTGTGA